GAGAGAGAGAGAGAGAGAGAGAGAGAGAGAGAGAGAGAGAGAGAAAGGGAGAGAGGGCAAGTGAAAGAGAGAAGGGGGAAAGTGATAGAGATAGAGACGGAGAGCCTACCCACGCGATTTGTCCGTTCGATCGGAAGGATAATTCAATGAAGCTCCTCGCAAGCGTGGAATCAACAACTATATTAATCGATAATCAGCTGTGCGTGCGAGAGGGCGGACTGGCATTTGCGGAAAGGGATCCTCTGGCAGGAACATCTCTCCTTACCCCGCCCCGTCCCTCCGCCCTACTCCTCTCCTACCCTCGATGTTGAATCCCATGGAAATACACGACGTTCGCAGCCGTTCGACATCGCTATAATTATTATCAAAGCGGACCGCCGCAGTAGGAATCGCGCAGGTAGCCGTTAAACGTTCCTCGCGGAACGACGACAACGTACCTCTCTCTCTCTTCGGCGTGGACACGCGCGCGACGTGTGCGAACGACATTACGCGTGGACACTCTTCGTAGCGTATCTTCGAATTTCGATTAGAGAAAGAGAAACGAGAGAAGACGAAAAAAAAGGATTGGAACTATTTCAAGCTCTCGGCGTGCTCTGCTGGATTTTGATAAAGTGTGTTGTAGCAGCAAGTGAGTGTTTGTATTTGTTTCTTCTGCCCGTTTACCGACTACACCATTATCCTCACGCAACATCCCTCCCTCTCATATCGTTACATGCGCGTTTCTCGGAGAGCCGCTCACGTATCGAAAATGCATTTTGAGATGGATATAAATATCATGGATTCGCAATCGACGACTGTTTCTCCTGTTATTCCCGAGGAAATAAATCAATGAGATTCGCCTATTCACACATATTATAGTTATTATTGTTCACGAATTATAGTACGTTGATTATGAAGATCTGATCGATATGGATCTGGATTTTCAGTTAAAGAATCTTAAACGATTCTTCGTCTCTAACGTTAGATTTGAAATTAAAGGAAGATTAAGCATTTAATAAAACTAAAATTGATTGATTCCAAGTTTTAACAATCAAATGAATTAGCATTTTGGTGAAATCGGCTGTGTAAATATAAATTGCCACGATCAATCGTTAAGTTCCATCCCGTACCTACAACTTCGTACTTGCACGTAACTTCGGAGTTACCGCAGAACAATTTTCGCAGATTACGTTCCGATCCCTCGATCGAGGCGAGGGGATCTCCGCGGCTCGCGGCGTGAAAGCCGAACGATCGACAGAAAAATCGCGCGTTCGGGAAGATTCGCCGAGTTGCGTCACGCAAATCGAATCTCCACTCTCGGAAAAATCGGCCGCGGACCAGTACGTTCCGAGAGAGGCGGCACACAATGATTCCCTATGAAATCGATTTCTGGCCGACCCAACCCGCCGATCATTGTTGCGCACGGGTTGTGCCGCCGCGATCGCGCGCGCGATCATTACGCAATCCCGTGGGTATTCTCGAGGAGACCTGCGGCGGGCAGGTAGCACGCGGTCTCTCGCTACTCCGGCACCGCTACTCCGAGGTTCTTGCTCTTTTTTTCGGGCCCCGCCGACACTCTAGAAAGTTGTTGCACCAGTATCGCTAGTCGTACACATGCGCGTGTCCGCTAATCCGCGCCTCGCCGGTACACGTCTCTCTACAAAGTGCTGAAAAGCTACATGTATATATATCGTCGAGATGCTCCAAGCGTCTCTCGTTGCGAGCGCACCGTTTCCCCTTACGGATTTATCTCCGTACAAATTAAAGCTAATGATGGCAGTTAACGTTGGATAATCCCGTCTCGACGAATATATTAATATTAGGACGTTTAATGCCTTGTTATTTAAATATACATTCCTGAGAGCAATTTATAACAAACATTTTGAATTCATGGCCGACCTCCGGCAACTTTTCTACATCCTTATTAAGAGGGAATAAATTAACAGCACGTGTAATTTTAAGTAGCTGAATCCATTGACTGTGGAAATTGAAACTATGTCAAGGATTCGAACACGAATTAAAAGAAAATATTTACAAACGTGGATCTATATAGGAATGTCTTTTTTAATTTTCAAGCGATTCAAAACGATCATTTTGCTCTATAAGAATAGATAACAATTATCCACACTTTTTAATCTCAAGTGATTTTTAATTGAACGTGAGTATATAATTATAAAAATTTGTGCGTAAAAGACGATGAATATTACAAAATTTTTTGGTAAAGAGAAATTCGCTAAAAGATTTCTAAATGTTGCACGTGCAGCTTTTAAGCAGCTTCTATATAGCACGTTTTCGTCAGATTCTCACACCTATGACTTCGCTGAGCGTCGAGGAACGTGAGAATCGCCATGAAGATCTGCCGCGTTCGTTTCTACTTCGCGAAACGATTGTTTCGATCTCCGCCGATCGCGCCGCGCCGCGGTGCACCATTCGATTCGAGCGCGCCGGGATCGCGAATATTTCGCAGGGAATATGTATGCTAACGAGAGAAGTTGAAACGCTCTCGTCGGCGCTCGTTGGATCCGCTTCTATTATGCGGAATATAGAATGCATATCATGCTGTGTACCCTCCGGAGTCACGAAGGTGAAAGCTTTTGTAGCGCCGCCTTTTTTTCTCCCCGTAGAATAGATCGCGCTTTTATCGGGAACTCTTTTTATCAGACGCCTCATAAATGGCGAGAGAAGAGAAATTTGGTTTATAAAATATATTAAATAATTAAATAATATGTGCCATAATGTATTTTCATTTCATGAACAAACTTTTTGCAACTCGAGATATTGAAAATGTGAAAAACATGCAGGTATATTATTAAAATTTTATATATACGAAACAATTATTTCATTTATGATGTGATTCATATTTGATGTGCGTGAATATAATAAAAATAATAATTGTTACGAAATATAATAACAGGAGAATTTATTATTATATTGAATGTAAGATTCTTCTTTTTTATTCTCTTCCTTTTTTTTAAAGATGCAGACGATGCTCATTACGTTAGATTAGTTAATTACTTATTTTTAATTGACGTTAGACTTTTTCAAAGAAAGATATCAAATCATATCCATCACACATTGAATATATTCTCAAAAGTTTATGTTAATTGATGAGCTTCTCATATTTAATGAACTAACGAAATATATATTTATATTCTTGAGTAAAGTCTTCGTCTCTCATTTCTGCAAAGAGATTCTATTGCAGAGTCGCGAAGATTTAAATTTCCAGTCAAATGGAACTTGCAGTATCCCAACATTGCAAAATCCCTCAAGCCCCTTCCCCCGCGGCGAGCGCATCCAGGAAGTTGTTAGAACGCGTTCGATCGACGCCGTATCTCGATCCAAGCGTCTAACGCTAATTTTCGCGCGTTAATCCCGACGTGTGGGAATGCTCGCAGAAAAGCGTTCAACCTGTCGATCGCGCGGAGAAGGAAGGCGTGTTCCCACGCGCGCGCGCGCTCGTACCTACGTACCTATAATACGTACGAGCGCTCGCGCGCGCGGTCCCGAGGCCTATCCTAGACGCGCCGTTCCGCATCGGATACGCGCGATCGACGCAACAATCGGTATCGAAAAAAAGGCGCTCTCCGGAGACCAGCGGGTGGTTGCAAGGCGCGCGCTCGCGGTCCGGGAGGCGCAAGGCCCGCGCGATGACGGGGCCCGACCCCCGGGCCCTCTCGTTCGCTGTACCTGTTTCCACGAGGCCCATGCGCGCGTGCGCGCGCGCGCGCCTTCTCAACGCCGTTCGCTGAATAATGCAGATTCATCCGGCGAGATGATTGCATCGCGATATCGCACCGCGATATTCTTTTTCGCCCGATCCCGAAGCGAAGCAAGCGCAGAGAGCCGGGGCGGAGAGGAGGCGGGGGTGGAGAACGATCACACGAAGCAGCGCGCCTCGCGCTTCGAGACATTGCCCACACGGACGGATGCCTCGTTTGCGCTTCGTTCGCGGATTGTCGAACGTTTCGCGTCTCTATCGGTCTTCGTTAACCTTTCGGCGAGACCTCACTTACGGGGCCCGGGGATCGAATTTGTCTTGGCCGCGTCTCCATCGGCTGATTGAGTTGCATCCTCGATTTGGTGCGGTAATAGAAGAAACAGAGATGCCCCTTAACACAACAACATATATTATGATTTCATTAATTGTCCACAAATATCTGGATGTTATTTTAAAATCGTTTGTTTAAAAAAGTAATTTCTCGTTAGAATAGGGACACAATTAATCTATGTGAAGAAGTAATTGACATAATTAATATAAAATTAAGCACGATGTTTTTATTCAAAGATAGAGTTATATATCTGAAGAACAAAGATCTAAAAAGTCAAAGATGAATTTTTGTACATCAAGATTGATTCTTGAGAGACAAATATTTAAAATTTTTTTATTGTTTAATAATTTTATTATTATTTTTTTATTATTTAAAGGAGACCACACACACTGCAGAGAAATGTATATAGATAATATTGTATGTAAGAACGTAATTACTTTGATATTTCGTAAAAGACAGATATGGAATTAACGTAACGCGCAGCTTTTACACTGAATTCCTTCGATGTGTGGAGAATGAAATTGCAACCGCGCGGTGATTTACGAGAATGTAATTTATTTGCCCCTACAGCGATATAATCGAAGCAACTATCAAACAGTGAAAGAAAACACTGTACCAGAGTCTTCCCGACTAGTTGCGGCAAATACAGACATTAGCGAATGGCTCTTCTTACGTCCGTCTGACCGTTCATCATCGATAATCCCGCAGCATGGAAACTACCCTACTCCAATAATTGCACGTTTCAATCGGATATTTAAATAGAA